CAGAACTGTCCAATCGTGTCCTTAACAGCTTTCCTTACTTCTCTAATCTTCCAAAAGTAAAGAATCGGATTGAGAGAGGAGTTGAGCATGATGATAGATAATGTCATTTCCCAAGCGAAATCACGCGAAGGCGAGATTACTCCAGTTATGGCGTACAGGGCAGCAACGACGCAGAATGGAAAATAGCAAACTATTAATGTTATTTGCAGCCACAATGCTGCTGACACTGATTTTTTATACCGCGCCAAGTTCAGTGGAGGATTTTCTCCGTCAGTTCTACACGAATTTGCGTGCATATTTAACTGCGCTATTTGAGTTTTGTGAAGGAGAAGTGACAGGTAGATCTTGGTATAGCAAAAGGCCGAGGTTATTAAACAGATAAACATTGCAATACATATAATTCCTACAGTCAAGAGGTAGTCGACTTCGAACATCGCTGCAGTAACACCACTCGTCGGCCAGAGAATGATGACAAATAGACGAGCTCGTCTTAGAGTCACGGTCTGCCTGTATCTCAAACCCAGCATTAGGGCGAGAAACCTGTCCACGCTTATAGCAGTCAAGGTCGCCAGTGATACCCCACAAAAAATTCCACTTGCAATGCTTGTCACTCTTGTAGTATAGTAACAAGTGTTTGTATGACGCGAAGACATTAGATAAGTGATGTAAATGGGCTCAAGGATAAGGCCTACGCAAAGATCAGTGCTCGCCAGACAACGGAATAACAGCTTTGATGGTGGATGAAAAGAGCTTTCTTTCTCAAGGGCTTTGAGGATCACAATATTCCAAAGAAACGCAGTCAGGGCCAAGCAGATGTTTAATCCCGCAAGAAACGTGTGTTGGTTTGCATCATACAATCCATTTATGCAAAAGACTCGAGTTTTCGTGATATTTTCCACGTTCGTGTTCGCCATCTTGATAATTTCAAATCGGTGTCACTTGTTCCAATCTGTCGGGTTACTTGATCGACACAACGTCCCCTTTTTAAAGACCAGTTTTTGTGATAGTGCTCGAGTGGGTAGTTACGATGACGCAACCTTAAGCAATACCTTTGCTGATGGTTAGAGAAAAGATAAATAAATATGAGTATTAATCTGAAACATTCCGGTTAGCATACGCATTCAATTCAAATCTAATATTCATGTCATAACGTGCTAGGTGGGAAGCACCGCCCTGCAGGTCTTAAAACTAAACCGATGTCATTAACTTCGTTTTTTGACGCATTAAACCCCCGCTGGCTTGCTAAAAAATTCAAAATTCGATGGATCTTACGTGTGCAGTTTTTGATTGTCATTGTGACCGCCTTTGGTTTCCTTTATTTCAAAATTTGTGACGGTTTTGTTAGCTTGTGGAAGTTTGCTGAGGTTTTACGGTGACTTAATTCACAGCCTCTTTCGATTATTTTTCTCATTAATTTTGAAAACAGAGGAATAGGAAACCTTTGTGCAAAAAATTAAAACGAATAGAGGGCAAAGATGACACAATTTGATTCCTCTGAAAAGGTAAATTTTTCTGAAGAGAAATAAACAATAGAGAAGACAAAGGCAAGTGGTCCTTTGAAGGAAAAACTCAATGAATAATGACCAAAAAGTGAGTGAAATAACAAAAAACAGCTCAAGACACCAGACGTAACAAAACGAAGCATTCAGAATTAAAACAATTCGAAAGAATAAAAAAATAAATAATAAAAAATAGTACAAGCCGAATTCACTCGACAATTGAAGCACAATGATACCGCTGTTAATCTGAAACTTGCAACAGTCGGGAAGTCGGCAAAATGTGCAAATTCATGATCATGCACAAGTTTTTTTTTTGGTCTTTGTTTTAAGGGGGAACGGCAGAAGAAAAAATTTCACTTCTTCCATTTCAGTATATTTTTATTTAAAGAGTTGTTCCTTAATCTGGGAAAATTTTACAAAAGCGCTTCGCGTAAGATCGAATTCAGAACAACAGCCATTCGAGGAGACTCGTTTGTTAAAATGGTTGTTTACATCTAAAAAAAAAAGGAAAAAAAAAACCTACTGTTGTGATATTAAGTTTAAGTTTTTCATTTTCTTTTTATCAATGGCTTTATTTATGACATCGCGGTTATTTTGTTTCACTTATCTCTTCCGATATTTTGACATGAGTTGATAAAGAAATTGAAGTTGTTGACGAAATTCGGTCTTCCATTTCACTAAGACAATTTCCCTTCAGTATTCGCAGCTGCACAAATCGAGTGACGATGATGATTGAAGTTTGGTGGTACTTTAAAAACATCTAAGATGTATTTCAATCAGTATTTTTTATTTTAGTAGGCTCCAACCTTTCGCAGAGGTTTCTCGCAACTTTCTTTTTTCCCATTTTCTTTGCCTAAAGAACAAAATTATTATGCAATTTATAGCGCATGCAGCAAGAGTCCTTCATGTCATTGATCATAACTCGTGAGATTTTTCAGGCACAGCATCGTACTAATTAAAACCTTACATTTCTACAGTAGCTCTTCATTGTACTGAAAGATTCCTTACTAATTACCCTCATAACTTTCAAAAATTACCTGTAGGATGAGATTTAGCCTCGAGCCGTTTTCTCTGTGTTATCAAGTCGAACAAGGCGTCAATTTACAGAATGAAAGTTTAATTTAACAGCACCTGAATGCAGCTGCTATTTACACTGTTATATTAGAAGTCTCAACAATAGTCTTCATTTAAATCATGCAGTATCTGACAGATCGGTCGGCAATGTTAATTCTATTAAGGTGAAAGCTATTCCATTGAAATTTCCCACTCGAAATTAAAAAAAGTTGACCAAACGTAAATCGAAAATCGATTCTAATACAATACGTGCAACATATTTTTTTTCTCAAATTAAACAAATAACTGGTGTAAAACTCATAATGAAATGAATAACTGCTTCACCATTCTCCATCTCCAGTTTGACTTGAAACGTTATTTACAAAAGCTTTCCTTGTATGTATTTACAAACGACAGGCTCAAAATGTAAAATTAAAAAAAGCGCGCGCACAGGGAGCGGCGCCCGTTGAAGAGCACCGTAGGTTGCGAAGTTTTCAATAGAACATAACAGATAAATAGTACATTTTTAAGATATCAGCGGACTTATAGATGACAAGATTTCATGATTTTGGACAATTAACATGAATTTTCATTTGATTTGTTGTGAAAAATTTATTTTGAAAAGGTGTCAAGAACTGACAGATAGTGTGGAACGAAAATATGTTTGCATTGCACTATCTTGAGAAGTGAGTTCAACGACCTTGCACCGGCTAAAAGATCCCTAGCACTCACCATCAAAATCAGAACTAGAAAAGGAAATCACAAGAAAAGAACCGGAACAAGAAATGTTCTGAATGTCGTGGTTTCGTATATTTGTAAAGTAGTAACGGCAAAGTAACCGTGGTACCAATAACTGCCATTCGATCCAACCCTTCACAATGACATTTTAGAGAATTTTCAATCCGCTCTCTCCTATGAGCGACCAAGACAGAATATCTCTTTATTGTTAAATGCAATATCAATCAGGCAATAAGTGACGAGAATAAAGAAATATATCAATGAAAGGATTATTAATTGATCCAATACCAAATTATCTGTACTAACATCATAAAAATTGCATGGAAGACAGTAAGTAGAATTACTAATAAGATTTTGGGAAAGATATGATATGAGATGTTTCACGCCACTCAATCGAAAAGCGCTCTATCACTGAAACTGGCGATTGCTGATGCATTCATTGCCTAAAGGTTATCTTTCAGTTGCTGAATCTATTGTTCTCCAAAGTGATATCTGAAAGTTAATAAAAACTACTCAATATCAAGCTGAACAGGAAAATAAAGCCAGCTTACAAATAAGTAGCCTTTAATTGGTAATACAATAACTTTGCGGTAAAAAAAATGCTGTAAAGAAAATGTGACTTCAATTATGAAGAAGTAGAGACATCTGTTCGACGGAGGGTGTAAATGACTATATACCGGAAGGTGTACCGAAGTTACATCTCGTAGGGTATACTGAGGCTACATTCCAAGGGGGTATACTGAGGCTAGATCCGGGAGGGTACTCTGAGGTTACATCCCGTAGGGTATATTGAGGCTACATCCCGAAAGGTATACTGAGATTATATCCTGGAGGTTATAATAAGGCCATATCCCTGTGGGTAAATTTCGGTTACATCCTGTAGGGTATACTGAGGTTTCATCCCCAATAACGCTAACTTGAGCCTGTTTTAGTATTGTGGAGACGATCAAAAATAATTTGAAACAAGGAGTCATAGTTACAATTACAAACAAACACTGACGAGGTAGTGAAAAATAAGGCCAACGAACTAAACTCTGAGAAAACATTCAAAGAAACTAATAAAAAAAAAAACGACTAAAACTATGTGGCTAAAATTACGCAATGAATCATTATATTTGTGAACAAGTGCTGCACTGAAAACTTACACTTGGTATAAATGCGTGTTCATAAGAGTCGAGTTAGGACTTTGCGCATAGGTTATTCAAACGTCACTGAATCACCATCACCAACAATAGCCTTTCCCTGTTTTTCGCTCGGGAGAGTCTAGTGGAATACACAAAAAAATTACGCTTGTTCGGCAGGCAATTGTCAAGGTTACTCTCGCGCAGATGATTATACTGCATTATCGATCAAAAGACAGGTTAAATGAGAGGTGCTAAGGGACTGGGACGTCATCGATTAACGTTTCACACTCGCCTGTTAGACCGGTTTTCTCTCAGTGATCAAGGGCCTGGAACACCGGCTCTACAGAAGCCTTTCTCGGAAAGCTAAAAATTGCTTCATGGAGCTTTCTACCCCAGCACACGCAGTTTGACGATCAGAAACCCTTTTTTTCCTCGTCGATAAGACTGCCTTAACTATACATTACCTTATCGAGAAAAATACTCCCAATGTTTTTTCGGCCTTGATTTGCACAGTGCTGCTGATGTATTATTGAAAAATGCTGATATGTTTCATCCAGTCAATAAACAGACGCGTATTGGCTATAAGCCCCTTTTAAAAACCAAATCCAAAATGATTTGGCAAAGCTGAAACGTCAATATTTCTTCTTTCAGCTTCAGGGGTGGTATTTTCTCATCTAACCATTACCAAATGTGATATCTTGTAAATAAAACACCTTGTCCTTTTGCTTGTGAATGAAATGAATCAAACGAATTTAAAGAACTCACTTTAGAAATGCCAGTGGATGAAAGCATTAAAAAAGACTGAACTGACTCTGAATAAATTTTTGACGAGTTATCTGTAATTTGTTTCTGCGATGTAAATAAAAACTTTACCAACTAAGTGGTGCAGCTGTGAATTTCCTGTCTGTTTGGATGAAAATCATTTACCTCAAAAGATTTCAAAGGGTGATTCCTTCTCAAGCGGAATTTCGCAGTATTCTTAATTAAATGTTAGACAAAAAAAAAAAGTTAATTAGAAAGCTGTCCTCTGTAATGATATGAAGCTAGAGCTTGCTCGGCCAGATGGCGGTTTTTTGTTTTTCAAAACTTATATATGCATTCCTTTGAATTCTAGTGGCAAAACATGATGGAGCTTTTAAAGTTCGTCGTGTTATATAATTTACTTTCCTGATTGGAAATCTTCATGTTGCCTTCTCTGTTTGAATAGTACAACGCAAATCATATAATATTTTATGAATGCAGATACGAATAAAGCTTAATTGTTTGTTCTGCCAGTCATCTGATTGCGTTTCGTCGCTTTTTGTATAACATTAATTTGGTGTTCCAGTCAGAATGCCGACATTGTTTACTTGCCCAAGCCAAATCTCAATTCCGGCGTTCCTTAATTTTTACGAGAATCACATTCTCGCCCACGATCACCCAGGTAAGGTGTCAAACGTTGGGCATGCGCAAATGGATCATTTTTTTTGGCTGCGCGCCCCTAACCGCAAAGAATACTAAAGGAAAACATACGAAACAACCCCTGTCACAGAACACTTACAAAAAAATTGATATTTTGATAAAATCTGCAAAAGGAAAAAGATTTTCCAAAATGAAGTTTGCTTTATTTCATGTATTCTATTAACGAACTATTTTGTTATAAGCTTT